CACCATATTGGCCAGGCTGGTCTCGAACTCCTGACCTCAGGTGATCTGTCCGCCTCTGCCTCCCAAATTGCTAGGATTACAGGCATGAGCCACCGCACCCAGCCTGAACCTTTCTTCTTTTCTAACCTAGGCCTTTAGTGCCAGAATTTCCATCTAAGCACTCCATTAACATCATGTTACAAATTTGGAGATGCGGTATTTTTGTTGTTGTTGTTGTTTTGAGACAGAGTCTCATTCTGTTGCCCAGGCTGGAGTGCAGTGGCGTGATCTCAGCTCACTGCAACCTCTGCCTCCCAGGTTCAAGCAATTCTCTTGCCTCAGCCTCCCGAGTAGCTGGGATTACAGGCATGCACCACCATACCTGGCTAGTTTGTGCATTTTTAGTAGAAACAGAGTTTCACCGTCTTGGTCAGGCTGGTCTTGAACTCCTGACCTTGTGATCTGCCTGCCTTGGCCTCCCAAAGTGCTGGGATTACAGGCGTGAGCTACTGTGCCCAGCTTTGGAGATGCTGTGTTTTCGCTTTCAATTCGAAATATTTCCTAACTTCCCTTTTGCTTTATTGAGTTCACGGGTTATTTAAAGTTTATTTTTGATTTCCAAATATTTGAGAATTTTTTTTTCTAGACATATTTCTGTTACTGATTTCTAATTTAGTTCCATTGTGGTCTAAAGAGAGAATATTCTTTGCATAACTTGAATCCTTTATAATTTATTAAGAATTATTTCATGATGCAGAGTATGGCTTATCTTGGTAAATGTTCGATATGTACTTGAGAAGAATGGGTATTCTGCAGCTGCTATGTGGAATATTCTGTAAATATCATTTAGATTAACTTGGTTATTAATGGCCAGGCATGGTGGCTAATGCCTGTAATCCCAGCACTTTGGGAGTCCAAGTCGGGTGGATCATCTAAAGTCAGGAGTCAAAACCAACCTAGCCAACATGGTGAAACCCCGTCTCTACTAAAAATACAAAAAATTAGCTGGGTGTGGTGGCAGGCACCTGTAATCCCAGCTACTCAGGAGGCTGAAGCAGGAGAATCGCTTGGACCCAGGAGGTAGAGGTTGCAGTCAGCCAAGATAGCACCATTGCACTCCAGCCTGGATAACAAGAGCAAAACTCCATCTCAAAAAAAAAAGTTGGTTATTCGTGTCGTTCAAGTCTTCCATATGCTTGATTTGCCATCAGTTTGTTCTACCAGTTATTAAGACAGGAGTGTTGAAATCTCCAGTTATAATTGCAGATTTGTCTGTTTCCATCAGTTTTTACTTCATATATATATATATATTTATTTATTTATTTGAGAGAGGGTCTCACTCTAAGCTCAGGCTGTAGTTTAGTGGCATTATCTTGGCTCACTGCAGCCTCAACCTCCTGGGCCCAGGTAATCCTCCTACCTCAGCCTCCCAAGTAGCTGAGACTACAAGTGCCCACCACCATGCCCAGCTA